CAAGCTACAAATCTGAAATTCAAAGTTCGAAAGATTTTCTGGATTTGAGCAGCGAGCGCTCGTCGCGTGGGCCCTGCGGGCAACGACGACCTCTTTCTGGGAGAGCGCACATGGGCAGCTCTGCGGCAGCTCCGGAGCCATCCCGGAGTCAGGCCTGACTCCAGGGAAAAATTACATTTTGCTTCATCAGGCGTGCATTGATCGAGTTAATTCCAGAGTCACCCAGAAGGGAAATCTGTGAAACCGCTTAAAAATAAATAAATAAAGGAAATTATAGCAACGGCGACGAGGGAGGGAGCAAAAGCAAGCAGAAATGGGTGAACGATGCGTAATTAACCTTCTGAGGCATGAAACGGTATTTCTGCATCAAATCATCTGAGACGGCCTGCCTTACCTTTGCTGCAGGGCAGATTCCGGCAGCAGCTGTGGGCTGTATTTTTAGGTATTAATTAGCCACTCAATTAAGGGGATTTGCTTTGGGGAGAGCAGCAGGGCCCCCAGGTCTGTATAGAATGACATGACCTCACCCGAGGTGACGGGCACGGCCACCGGCAGGGTGGGCTTTGCTGGTGAATGTCATCCCCAAGGTGATGGGCACGGCCACCAGCAGGGTGGGCTTTGCTGGTGAATGCCATCCCCACATGCTGGGTCTGCAGCTCCGGAGCGGGGCCGTCCCCCATCTCAGCGCTGTCTTTGTCTTTTCCCCCCATTCTGGCAGAGGAGCCCCCACCTCTGCAGCAAACACGGCCCCCGTAGCATCAATCCTGCGGGTCCTGCCAGGATCGAGGACGCGATACGCCAAGCCGCTTCGGCACATCCTTCAGCCCAAATTTGGGGCTCAAACATATTTCTGGGCTGGGTCTGCAGTCCAGGGGTAAAACAGGCACAGAGAGAGCCCCAAAACCCCAACCGGGATGGGACCCTGCGGAGCGGGCAGGACCTTTCCCTCCCAGTTCTGCCATGGAAGCAGACAGGAGGAGCAGGAAAAAGGGCTGGAAGCCTCCAGGAGGGCCACCGCGGCTCAGGGACCCTGCAAGGAGCGGCCAGGCGCCTGCGGCTGGCAAAGGAGGAAATCGCCGGCGTGGTTCGCTGTCCCCTGGCT